TCTTCCACTTTTTAAAATCAAGTTCAAGGCCAAGGATTTTCCAGTTTTTAAGTTATTTTATTAAATTATTTTATTCGATATTTCGCCTTTCATCGAAAAGCATCCTCAGGAATACGTATAATTTGTCAAATAACAAAAAACATGTAATCTTATTTCTAAATACTGCCGCGACCGTCTTCTTCGTCTTCACAAGCTGCACTGATTTCTGCATTACTTCTTCATACGTTTTTTTCCCATTAGAAGTCGATAGCTTTGAGCGAGTCCATCGGTGTCTGTTTTGTGGTTTATTCTTTTTTCTGATGTTGTTTTCATAATATGGAGCATCTCGAGAGTCATTCGCTTGTGATAATTATCCTCTCTCTGTAACACACGCACATTATCAATATCAGCTTGGTGTTGTTCTCTCGCACAGTGGGAGGTTAGTGCAGTTTTTTGCGAATTGTTGCATCTGATTTTTAAATCTGATTTATGGCCGGCGATTCTAGTTTTTAATTTTCTTTTTGTGGTCCCAATATAATACATTCCACAGGGGTTGGTCTGATTTCCTTTACATTCTATTTGATAAATTAGATTTGATTTCTCCATTTTGTCTGTTTTAGACTTTAGTTTGGTAAATAGTGATTGTAATGTGTTATTTGTTTTGTGAGCTATTTTGTGGTTAATGTTATCAATCCAATTTGCTTTTTCTAATCTTTCAGACAGGCCTGGAACGTATATCAAGGACTTAAATATTGCAGATTGAGTTTTCTCAAATTGCGGATTTTGTTTGTTTTTATCCATTAATTTTTTTATAGTCTTTCTTGGGAAGTTATTTTGATATAAAATGTGTCTAATTTTGTTGTAGTTTTTTTCGTGGAAGCTGTGGTGGCTGATGTTTATAACTCTATCGATGAAATTTTGTGCTGTATTTATTTTGACTCTTTTGGGATGTTGTGAGTAGAAATTTACTAGCCGTCCTGACGATGTCGGTTTTTGATACCAATCCAGAATTATTTTATTATCCTTCCTAATAATAAGGGTGTCAAGGTATGGGAGTCTGCCATTGTTCTCTTTTTCCATCGTAAATTTAATAAGATATTGGAGATATATTTGCAAAGTTTCGAAGATGGAGCATTAACTGAGGAACAAATTGGTCTAAGGGGGTAATTTTCTTTTCTTTTTTTTTCAAAATCATTGATAATATTTTCGGCGGAGTTCACCAAAATCAAAAAGGAGTTATTTATTAAAATCTTACGTTTTTGTATACAAGATAGTAGATATTTTCAATACAAGGACAAAACCTATCAACAGAAAAAGGGTTTGCCTATGGGTTCTCCGGCATCACCGATTGTGGCAGATATTGTAATGGAAGAATTGTTAAAAAAATGTGTACAAAACAGTGATATTAGGATCAAGATATTGACAAAGTATGTGGACGACCTCTTTGGGATTAAAAGGTAAAATATTACTTTACTATTCATGGGTACCAAGAGAAGGTTCTCAAACAATGCTTTCCGTATATACAAAATGTTGTCCCTTAGGATAAGTGTTGCCACTTATTTCCAATTCTACACAATTTATCTTCAACACCGCAATATGAATATCAAATGAAAGGTATTGTTGCGAACTTTGGTCAGAAAATATTTCCCATCAGGGTTGCCACGCTTCTATTTAATAAAGGTTAAAGTTTTTATTTTATTAAGTTCGATCAGCATTTTTTCATGTATACACAGTACATATACGCTCAAGATATGTACTATTCATTCCAGCGTATTTCGGAATAGGGTTGCCACCTGAATTTTGGATTAAAAAATTTACTTAATAGATATCGAAATCAATATTTTTTTCCAAAATATTTTTTTAAAGCTATCCAAACCTTGAAAACTTTAAAAAGTATATGCGCTCCGGGCAAAGCTCGGCCATCCTGGTACTACCTAATAGCATTCCGATCACCACTGCGATTGTCATCTTCTAGTTGGTGTTTTAACGCCGACACATTGAGCACCGCAGCATCGGGTGTGGCCCCATGATATCTTGCGTACATATAACGAATTTTAATGCATTATCACGAACCTGTCACGCGAATAAATAAAAATCAAACCAATAAGTAATTCACTTCAAAGGATTTTCTTTCGAAACACTTTGTATCATTGCATTTAAGTTTGTTTTTGTTTATCGGCCTTTAAATTGTATACTGATGTAATTTTCATTTGATAAGCTCGAGGTCCAGAGAAAACATAAAACACAGGTTTTAATTTCAATAATTTTTAATCTTCAGGACTGTAAGTATACATAAACACATTGACTTATTATTAACCTGTAAAATTATTGTGAAATATAAGATAACCACAACTTACACTCTTCGTTGAGCCCGGTCGACTGATTAGGAGTACAGAATTATAATTTAAGTAAGTGAACTTTTTGGGCAGAAGAGCCTAAGAATAACAAAATAAACAATTGAGAATACCGTAATTGTAAACAAAAATTATGTATCAACAACAATACACTGAACATTGAATATTAGGCAAGTGAACATAAGCATAAGAAGTAAACAATTTGACCATAGCGTACTTATAAACAAAAAACATACAAACAACAATACAAGCAATATTGGACAATAAGACGTAAATATGTACATATGAAATCACAGCATTAGCTCTGATCCCATACTTTTCGTGAAAAATCCTGTTAAACTGTCAAACAGCAAAATTACTCTCTGAGAGTAAAAAGTGAGTAACAACAAAAAGTACGGGAACAAAAAAACCATTTTTCCTGTAAAAACGTCAACCAGTGATTGCTTGACACTTTTCATGATTTTACCAGAAGAAAAAGTTCGGGTAAAATCTTGCAACTTCATTCTCTACACAACTCTCCAAAAGTCGCTCTCATTTACAGGATTTTGGAGGACTTCGGAGTACGAGAACATTTTTCCTGCAACTTCCTGTAAGTTCGTGCAAAATCCTGTAAGTGCATGGAGTACTGGATCAGAGCTGTTGTGTTGTTCTTCGGAGGACTGTTTGGAAAACGAAACAACTGTTGATTGTCGAAGAAGGGGATGGAACACCTACGTTGAGGATTGTTGTTGTGAATTTAAAATCAAATTGCAATACACATGTGCACAATTATCTGTGTCCGTTTTATAGATGATCCTCTTGTCATTAGGACTGTTCATTATGTGCATTATTTCCAAAATAAAGCGTTTATTATAATTCTTATCTTCTTGAAGAATGCCAACATTATCAAAATCGGGATAGTGTACCGTATCCCTGCAGTGAGCTGACAAGGCCGTCTTACTGTCCGTTGAATTGTTCCTTAACCCTAGAACACACACCCAGAAAATACCACGTAAACACACACCCGGGATACGTTTGTACCCGGGACCTTATTTTGCGGTTTTTTTAATGCTTATTCAACCGATTTCTATGATTTTTTTTTTGAAATGTATATTTTAATATATAACAAGTATTTTGTCTTTTGTTTCATTCGAATATTCCTACTGGTTCCAGCGATATGGGCAAATAAAGTCAGGACATGCAACAGTGGATTTTTGTTTTTGTTGTTGTCCTGATAAATGCAAAACAAAATAATATAATTTATAATAATATACTTGTAGAGTAACAACGAATACACATTTTGGTTTTTATTTCATTGAAATATTCTACCTGGTTCAAAAGATATGTGCAAAAAGGTCGCGCAAGGTATGGGTACGTAGGTAGCAAATACACTGGTATAACTGGTTTTTGTATTTTATATGCAGCTGCAAGGGTTGTTTTCACACGAGGTGTTGTTATAAATGCTGCCTGTTGATATTTTCATTATTGTTTTGGTGCTCAAAATGTAAGAAGTGAAAATATAAGTGAAAATAAATATAACTGAAACTATAAATAACTGGATACGAAATGCTTCAAGAAGAAACGAATATTTATCAAGTGCAGCATATAGAAGGTAAAAAATGTAAAATAAGCAACAATGTAAACATATACTAATTTTTTTTATTATGCAGGCTAACTGAGGAACAGCGAGAATCATATATACAATCTTTATTTGATGAAATTTGTGACGATGACGCTCCCTATGCACTTTGACTCAGAAGATGAAGAAGAAATTCAAATCAATGACATTGAAATTGCTGATGAGATGCTGAAGTTTCGCAAAGTGCCGCAGAAGTATTACCTGATTATGCGGACTATGTGGATGATGAAGAAGACGATGAAGAAGAAGTAGAAGAAAATAATGAATTACCTGCTAGTGCCGAAAAATTTGTTGCACGTGATGGTACGACCTTGCCAGTTGCAGAACTGCTTCTCACCTGGAAACTCACGATCGTTGGAACTTTGCGCAAAAACAAATCATATATTCCTCAAGAAATGAAGCAGAACAAAAACAGGACAATTGGTTCAACGACATTTGGCTTCAAAAATAAGTGACAATGTGCTCTTATGTTCCCAAAAAAAATAAAGCAGTAATTTTGCTTTCGACCATGCATAATGATGCTGAAATAGCTGACAGTGGGAAACCTGAAATAATTGAATATATAATCGTACCAAAGGTGGTGTTGATCGAATGGACACAAATGTTTGCGGAATATCCAACACAAAGACAAACAAAACTATGGCCACTAGCGATGTTCTTCAACATGTTGGACATTACAGCTCTTGCAGCCTACATTGTCTACGATTTGAATAACCCTATGTTGCCTTGGAGAACAAACAACAAGCGTAAGCAGATCCTGCGCAGCTTGGCTGAAGCATTGTGTATGCCCATTATTGAAGCCAGAGCCATAAATCGTCAAGTGACGCGAAATTTTTCGACTAAAATTGCTATTGAAGCATATTTCAACCGACCGGTGGAATCAAAGGTGTCAACAGCAGCATCAACATCTGCCGCAGCGCGCACGCCAAAACCTGTGTCCGGATCTTGCTATTTATGTTACGCACAAGAGGAAAAACGCCGTAGAAAAACCAGAAAGCTGTGCGACAAATGTAAGAAGCCAATGTGTCTTGAACATTCGGTCACATCAACAAATTGCTCTATTTGCCATGATTTTCCTTAGATATAAGATGCATTTTTATAATAAAAGTCAATAATATAATGTGTGAAATGAATATTTTTAATTTTTCAAATAAAAAAATAATATAAAAAATGTTTTTTTTTTGTTATTATGAGGATTTTTACTATTGGGGTACAAACGTATCCCGGGTGTGTGTTTACGTATATAATGTGTTTGGAAGGCTGTAGCTCCTGTAGCGGTATAGAGGTATAGCGGTTCAAAAGTTACAACACTTCAAAGTTGAAAGTGGATACATTTGTACCCGGGTGTGTATTCTAGGGTTAACCTAATGTTTGCTTTGTGTGCGGAAATCCTTGTCTTGAGTTTGGTTTTTGTTGTCCCCACTTATACTTTGTCGTATTGCTGTATGTGAACGCTATTTGGACCTTTTCTTTGTCATACATGTTGGAATGTTTGATCCTCTCCGATATACCCGGAACATATGTAGTGGATTTATATATTATTGACGCAAAAGAAAAGAAGAAACTGTCTTGCAAAATAGCCAATCCACCAAGAATCTTCGGTTTGCCAAAAATACACAAAGAAGGTATCCCCCTTAGACCCATTTGTTCGTCCATTAACTCCCCGTCCTATAATCTGCGCAAATATGTTGTCAATATTATTAAAAATATAACTAAATCTTCCGACTATAATGTAAGAGACGCGATTGAATTCAAGGAAAAAATCATTCCCCATTCGGAGTCGGCGTAAAACTGTAGGTCCCTCCCATTTGTGTAACAACATCAAGGCGCACGCCACAAATCGGAGGCGAAGCTCGGCCAAACACTAACATATGTGTAAACTCTAATGTACTATTATTATTATTATTATTAAGATATGTCTACCCCTTAGTGTTGTGTAATTGTCCTAAAATTTTCTTTTGGGTATTACCTACCGATGTTCTAAATAAAACCGGACCTTGCAAATACGTAAATCAGCAATCACAAGCTTAGGAATTAATACAGTCCCTCTTATTATCCGCTCAGTAACAGGTATCGCCAGGGCCGTATTAACACGCATGGGCGTTCAAGGGCCGGAAGAATGTAACGATTACCTGTAAATTAAATGCAATGCGATTGCTTCAATTATTGAGATATTTTTGTATCAAAACTGCGTTGATTTAATAATGACATACAGTCACTCACAGAAGCATTCGTAGTTTATTTTTAAATCTTTTTCGTTAATTTTTGCATAAAATGTACATAGTTCGTTCTATAACAAAAACCGTATAAATATATCTTTGTACAAAATTCAAAAAAAATAATCAAACTTCAAGAAATTTTTATGAAAATTTCTAACGTATTAATCGGAATTTGTAGAAAATTTTCCGGTATGCAGTTTTGTAGCCCGGGACGGGAATTAATCCAACTTTCAGAGCTTTTGTAGCATCAGTGCGACATGGCTAGGCACTCCAGGCTGACAATTTGGTTCTTAAAATGCCGTATTGCGTTGTCGAAAATTGTAACAGGCCGATGTCTGTAAATAATAGGTATTAAAGAAAAATTAATAACGGAGCAACAAAAGCCAAATCAACCATTTTTAGAATTTTTGTCTTTCTGTTTGTATGTTCGTACGCGCATCACTCGAAAACTAATGCGTGGAAATGATTGCAGTTTTCACCGATGTATTTCTAGAGGCCTAGCTTAAAACATGGGAAGAAAAAAATAGAGGTTGCCTCCTGTTTGAAAACTTCAGTTTAAGTAAATTGATAAGATAAAGTGAATACTGCAGTATGACTGTTAAAAGAAATAGGTTTAAGAAGACATAAAGCTGAACATGTTTTTGTGGAATTTTAATTTAATTATAAGATAAACTGAACATTGAAATATTGGTATCAGGCTGAACAGGTTTAGGAAAGTTTACTGCCGCAAATATTTTTGATGGTTGCCATCTGTTTGAAAAATTTTATTAAGTTAAATTAATAAAATAAAAGAAATATTACAATACGGGTATTAAACAACACAAAAGTACTTTTAAGGTGCAGTGAAGCACGCTGGGTTTTTGCTAGTATAAAATAAATAAATATTTTGTTTAATGCAACGATATCTTCATTTGATACTTTTTAGCTTCAAAACTAACTAATTATGTCGTTTACAACAGGAACCCGTAAAGCGAGCAATAAAAAAAAAATTCGTTTAATGGGAACAAAAAAAAATTATTTGTTGTCAATAAATATGCCTTCAATCTCCCCAGAAAATGGCTTTCCTAGTGGAGCCGACAGAGAAAAAGTAGTATTTGCTTTCTTGCACCCGTAAAATAATTTCTGTATCAAGTTATGAGTTTTTTGCATATTGTCAAATAATTTGACAAAAAAGTTACCAATAACTTTAGAGTCGACTTTATTTCGACAATAAATACGCTCCATTGATTCTACTAAAAATGTTGATGACAAAACTATGTAGGACATTAAGGCGCTCTGGCCGCGCCTTCTTCGTCCCATACTCTTATCTCGCCCTGAGTATCGTACAACTATATACATACATTTTGCCGCTTAAAGTACAAAACCGCGTATCGTCATTCTACAAAATCGCGTAACTGACATTTGCTGCCGAAAATTAGATTTGCTCATACAAGCTCTTGGCTCTATCCTTATCCATTCGTCCTGAAATATACTAGTCAGAAATGCGATTTATTTATAAAAAAAATAAAACTATTTTGAAATATGAGTGTTTTTACTATCCAGAAAATAATTTATGCAACCTCACATATGCGGTTTTGCATTTTGTTGATACGCGGTTTTGTACTTTAAGCGACGATATGCATGTATGTTCTCCCTGTTTGCGCCGAGTTTGCGGCATTTGACACATACAACACACAATCTGAATTCAAATCTTTATAGACAGAAACAGTAACAACAATAAGACAAATAATAAATTCTATTGCCGCAAATGCAAATGCAAATTTTGTTAGATGTGCAGCTATTTCGCTCAAAGCGTTAAAATTGCGATGTTTTTTTTTGTGTTTGTTATTAGTTTATTTTTTTTTGATGCACCACGCGCACAATTGTATGCAGTTTTATTGAATGTTATTGGGAATAGATCAACAAAGAAGCCGCCAGCAATGATCGCACAGTCGTCACAGCGACGCATAAATTTCCGTGTGGACCGAAGTGACGGTGACAATGACTTTCCGGTCATCAAAAATCAATTTATGCGCATAGGTATGAATCAGTTTAGTTGGAATGAGTAGCAACAATTTAAGAGTTGTAAGGAAGATCATTCATACTTGCTATACAAAAGAGATTTTCCAGTACTGGAACGATGTTACTACCAACGAACCAACCAACTGGAATATATTTGTATTGACAGCTACTCTCTCAATATTTTCGTGGTTTACATGTACGTACTTCAAGACTTCAAAGCACTACTTGATGTTGAGATGGTTAATGCTTAAAATCAGTTATGTCAATGAAGTTTTCGAAAAAGTAAGATTCCATTACTTCGTCTGGCCAGGTCGCTTCCAAAACAGTGAGCCATTCCAGAAAAGTCTCTCTTCAATTATCTGAGCATTCATACCGAGTTAGAAATTTGCCAATCCACACCCAACTGCCGTACGCCTCTAAGTTGAGCATGCGAAATACGCTATGATTTGCCATTAAACAGCCCTGATTTATAAAACCGCAGGGAAATCGACAAGCTCGGGAATTATTTACAGCTGCGAAATTCGTAAAAAATTTACCATTGACGATTATATGTACCATGACCTATGTCGTCAAACAATCGGAGGTGTCTATAGCTTTACGTCGCCTCCTAACGATAGGTATGAGATTGAGTTGAACTTTATTTTTTAAATACGTGACAACGCTCCTAAATGCAGTTCAGAAATAAAGCCTTTTTAAACCTATTCCATTTGATATTCATATTTTTAACAATTGCTTTCACATATTAAATATTTTGAGTTTACCTTTTTAAATAGGTGGCAACCCTCTTTAATATTATTAATATTTAAACTAAGGATATCTTATCATCTTCGTTTCACGTCATGTTTTAATATTTCATTTAATTAAATTCTAATTTTAAAAAATTTAGCAAACCCTATTCAACATATTTTTAAACCAAAACCTTGTTAAACCTTTTTCGACTGACACACATATTGCGATACATGTCTAAATTGTATATCTAATTGCCTTAAATCAAGTTGAATTTAATTACTAAAACATATGGCAACCCTCTTAAATAAAATTAAGAAAATTTTTTTTTTAACGAAAATCAATTTATACCCATACTTTAATAATTCATTTGACTTATTAAATAATTAGAGTTTAACTTTTTACACAAGTGGAAACCCTCTTTAATGTTATAAATGCTGAAACTAAATTTTTCTTAATATTCCTTTCTTTGACGCCAATATTTCTGTATTTCATATAATTTAATTTAATTGGACTTTTAAACAGATGGCAATCCTGTGCAAATTATTTCGATTTTAATTTAATTATAAAATCAGGTGGCAGCACTCTTACATGCAGTTTGAAAAAAAAGTTTCTTCAAAGCAATTTTGATTTATATTCACAATGAAGTAATTTATTTAAGCTATTGCTTATATTTAATCTAACTGTAACAAGGTGGTAACCCTCTGAAAAATATTTTCAAACCACAACCTCTTTCGTCTGACTTCCATATCAGGATACACATTTCAAATTTTTGCCTTTATTTAAGCCGAGCTTGCTTTTTGAAACAGGTGGCAGCCCTCTTACATACAATTAAGAAATAAAACCTTTTCAAAACCATTTCTATCGGTACTCTTTGTGTAATAATTGATTTAACTTACAAATAATTTGAATTACATTTTTATCAGGTCGCAACTCTTTTTGAAAAACTAAGAAGTTATTGCACATCCACAGGCCAAGCCCTCATATGTACATACATATGCATGTACACTAGACTGCATTACCAAAAAAAGTTGCGGGTTTTCCACCGGGATTACAAAATGTATTATTGGGTTGTTCACACTTGCCTGGTTATCAGTATCAGTAGGTGACTTGGCTGAGCAGATAGACGATTCGA